GGGGGCGACGGGACTGGGGGCCACCCCGCCCCGCCGGCGGGTCTCTCCTCGGGGAGTGGCAGGGCAGCTGTATTTCTTCGAGCAACAGGAAGGCGGTGGGTTGCGCAGTCCTCTGGCTCGAACCTGCCCCGGGCGGAGAGAGAGGGGTGCGGTCGGGGCAGGTTTCGCGCATGGCAGGCAGGTAACTTTCGGGGGCGTTGTCAGTCTGGTGCCCGAGTTCAAGGTCGGCAGGCGGCTCGTGGCACTCCCCAGCCCGGGGCCCGTTTGCTGTGGAACCTCCGCTTCTCGGGACGCTGCTGCCCAGTGGGCTCCGTGAGGGCAGGGCCGATTTTATTCCTTTCTTGCAGGTAACACGGTGCCAGCGGAAAAGCCGGTGGCGCAGTGGTTATGGGTTGGGCTGCTAATGAAAGGTCAGCAGTTTGACACCATCCCCGCTCCGCTGGAGAAAGAAAGGGTTTTATCTATCTATCTATCTATCTATCTATCTATCTATCTATCTATCTATCTATCTATCTATCTATCTATCTAATCTATCTAATTTTATTTACTCCTGTAAAGAATTACTGTCTAGAAAACTCACTGGGGCAGTTCTACGCGGTCCCATAGGTTCCCTGTGAGTGGCCATGAGCGGATGGCAGTGAATTTTGGCTTGGGTTTGGATGACCCAGTGCTAGATGCACCAGCGGTTCCCAGGTCCCTCAGCAACGGTATAACGAAACTTGTTAGAAATAATAATAATCATTTTTTAAAAGTCAGCTCTACTCAATACCTACTGAATCTAAAACTCTGGGATAGACAGCCAATATTTGAGAACCAATATTTAATGAGAAATTGTACTATCTAACAGTACTGCACCTCTTCCATCTCAGAAACCCGCGGTGGCAGTTCTACCCTGTCCTACAGGGTAGCTATGACTGAGCATCTACTTGATGGCAGTGAGTTTTCCAGACTCTGTTTGAAACTAAGCACAGTCATGCAATGCCTCTTCAGGTCCACTGTCGAACTGCTTGCCTGTATACCTGCTCCCTAAGGCTGGACTAGAGTTCGGATAGCCGACCCGAGAATGAGGCCTAGAGAATGTCAGTGTCCTGCATGCGATACTGTGTCTCATGTCTTCTTGTATACTAAGTGCCTTGTCAGAAAGTACAGAATAGATGTAGCCTATGCTACATATATCTTGATATTCACAATACTGACTTCCGCACGGACGACAGGATACTTTCTGAAACATTTCCCTCATAACAGTACATGCTCTGCCTCCTAGGCAGCAGTCGCATGTATTTCTCATCTCAGTGTTCGAGGCTCTCTCTTTGTGAAGTAAACTGTTACTGTGAAGTACCTCATGGCTCCAAGATGCAGCAAAATCGATGTTGTGATAGAAGCAGCAAGAGGTAAAAAAGAATGATCAATTTAGAAGTGTAACAAGGTTATCAAAAGCAAACTCACTGTCGTTGAGTGGATTCTGACTCACAGAGACCCCTATAAACTGGAAAAAACCCAAACTCGCTGCCATGGAGTTGATGCTGTCGCACAGTGACCCTATAGTACAAGGGAGAACTGCCCCTGAGAGTTCTGAGACTGTAACTCTGTGAGACTTAGGAGTAGAAAGCCCACCTTTCTCCCGGATGGTTTCAAACTACTGACCTTGCAGTTAGCAACCCAATGCATAACTGCTACGCTACCAGGGCTCCTTGCATAGCACCATCCAAGCTCCTTAAATAATAAAACCCAACTAAACCAAACTCATTGTTGTTGAGTCAAATCCAACTCAGAGCAACCCTATAGGACAGAGTACAACTGCCCTGCGGGTTTCGAGACCGGAGTAAAAAGCCACAACTTTCTCTCTCAGAGCAGCTGCTGCTTTCAACCTGCCGACCTTGTGGTTAGCAGCCCAGTGAAAGCTATTGCTGGCAATTTAGTCATGTGTGCTCAATGTCCAAACTACATAACATCGCATTTCCTAGAATGTATAGGTGCCGGCACTGTGTTAGGTGTTGCTCTGCTTGTTAGCCACAAGGTTGTCAGTTCAAATCCACCACATGCTTTGTGGGAGAGATTTTGCTGTTTGCTTCCATGAAGACTTGTAGTCTTGGTAAATATATCTAGATCTAGTTATGGATATAGGTATAGATGGATATAGAGTCACTATGAGTCAGGATTCAGTAAAGGCAGTGGATTTGCTTCTTGGACTCATGGATGTTAAGTAATGTCTGATTGCACTCTTTTGGGAAAAAAAGAATTAGAGATGTAGAGATCTGTTTTGTTTTTGAGTTGTCTCTGAGACTCAGCAGTGCAGGATGTAGTAGTGTTGAAATCTCTCTCTTACACACACATACACACACACAGAGGCTTTTAGGACAGTGCTGTGGGAACATGTCTCTTCTCTGTCTGAGAACCTCATTCTCCTAACTCAGCTCTCGGGCAGTTGAAAGCAAGAAACTATACATCTGGTTTCCTAGCCCTAGCGAATGTCAGTTATAACAAGACATTGCCCCAAGTGTTCATTACATGCTGCTTTTGACTTTTCCTGGGCTTATATTTCTCTGACTCTAAGAGGGAGGAGCCGCCAAAAAATTAATGAAAAATAGCATTATCATTTATGTACATTTTCCCACAAGCTTTCTGAACCTACCTTGTATGGCTATTTAGGGTTTTGAGATACACATGCCTGAGGTTGCACGACACCAACATATGACAGTGTCTGAGTTACACACAGACTGTGCCTCCAACTTCCAGGAAGCACTAAGACTGGTGGGAAGGAGATGAGGGCTGCACCTGGTGGCCAGGAAACTACTTTTCTAGGCTTCTATGTAAAGACATCCTTTAGTGAATCTAAATATTACCTTCTGATTTATCTGTCTGGAAATTCAATGTAGTAGGAGGAGCACAGGAGGAGCACGGTTCTCATTCAGCTTTCATTAATCGAGCCATCATGTCATCACTGGGGGAATCCTGAATGCCTGTCTTTGCCTAAATGTCATCATACGTAAATTCAAGGCATATTTGCTGAGGGCCTAGGGCCCTCGTGGTATAGTTTGTTACTAGTTGGGCTACTAACTCCCAGGTCAGCAGTTTGGAACCACCAGGTGCTCCTTGGGAAAAATAAGAGGTTCTCTATTTCTGTGTAGGTTCAATCTCAGAAACCCACAGGGGCCATGATATTCTGTCCCAGGGGGTCCCTACGAATCAAAATAGAGTTGATGGCAGTTGATTTTCACTATATTTTAGATGCTGGGCTTTATGAAAGCAATATTATTTACACCATAGGAATATATCTTTAATTCATTCTAAGTTTTCGTTTATAAAAATTGATTGTGGTTATGGTCTCATTTCCTTTATTTATCCCAGCGTCTCACATGATGGCGTTAGTTGCCCTCAAGTCAGTTCTCAGCCATGGGACCCTGTGTGTTAAGAGCAGGTAGGGCTGCTCTTTCGGATTTCCGTGCCTATGAACTTCACAGAAAATGGTCTCAGGCATTTTCTTCTATAGCATTGCTGGATGGGTTGGAGCCACTCAACCTGAGCTTAGTTGTCTTTTGCAAGCCTTTTTTATCCCTTGGGGACCTGGATTTCCTAGGTAGGTATTTCGTTATCCCTGCCATATTGAGGAAAGTTCGAATGAAGGGCATCCAAGTGTGAGTGAAGGACCCAGAGAGGGAGCTGCCTGTGTGCTCTCAGTAAGACATTTGAATTCTGAACTCAAAGTTGCTGAATTCATATCCTGACTCTATTGCTTATGAAATATGTAATTTGAACATAATTTCTCTGCGGTTCCATTCTCTCTCTGTTAAATGGAGAAAATACTGCAAAGAAAAACAAACCAGTACTTAGTATGCATAGTTTGTACTCCATAAATTGTTGCTATTACTTATGAAGGCTGGGTCTCAATCCAAATTCAAGATCTGGGCATACAAAAGAATAATAATAAAACTAACAGGAACAGAATAAGCACCAGATACTTCCTAAATTCCTTCACTTAGCTAAATCACCTAACCCTCCTACACTAAACCCATAGGTGAGCAGTAAACAGAGCAGGAGCAGTGCTGCTTCCATTTTGCAGCTGAAGAAACAGGCCAAATGCGCCCAGCTTGTAAACGCTAGAGTTTGGATATGAAGTGAGACAGTTTGACTTCAGCAGTCCCCTTCTCAAGAATCTTGCTATGCTTTCTCTGGTGTGCAGTTTACTAGACCATAACTTTGCACAAACAGTGAAAAACA